CTTAGAGTAACACTATGAAATCTGTACAAAGTGATATATTCAAAAACACTATAAATAAATCAAGAAGGAATAAAAAAAAAAAGTTCAAGTAACCCAAGGAAGGTAAAAGAGAGAGAGAGAGAAATAGGAACAAAAATCAGAGGAAATCAACAGAAAATAAATAATAAAATGGCAGACTTAAGCCTTAAGATGTCAATAATTAATTTAAATGCAAATGGTCCAGATACACCAATCAAAAGACGGAGATTAGCAGAGTGGACTTAAAAAAAAAACATGACCTAATAATAGGCTGTCTAAAAGAAAGTCACTTTAAATACAATTAAAAAGGTATTTTAAAAGTAAAAGAAGAAAAATATATATAGCGTTTGAACATTAATTTTTTAAAAAGTAGGAGCGGCTATATTAATATCAAATAAAGGAGACTCCAGAGCAAGGAAATTAATACTAGAGAAAGAGAGGAATATAACATAATAATAAGATCATCCCACCAGGAAATTATAATGATCCTAAATGTCTACACACCAAACAACGGGGACTCAAAACACATGAAGCAAAAACGGATAGGGTTAAAAGGAGAAACAGACAAAACCACAATTATAATGGGGGAATTCAACACCCTATTATCAGCAATTGATAGAACTGCTAGACAGAAAATCAGCAAGGATACAGAAGAACTGATCACCACAATCAACCATCAGGATCTAAGTGTCATGTAGAGAGTAGCCCACTCAACAACAGCAGAATTTTCATTCTTCTCAAATGCACAGGGAGCATTCTCCTGGATAAAACAATATGCCATAAAACTGATACGCCATAAAACAAGGCTTAGCAGATTTAAAAGAATTAAAATCAAAGTGTGTTATCCAATCACAATTAGGAATCAATGACAGAAATAATTCGGGACACTGATAAATATGTAAAAATTAAACAACACACTCCAAACTAACCAATGGGTCAAAGAAGAAATCACAAAGGACATTAGAAAATACTTTGAGACAAATGAATACAAAAACACAACACACCAAAACGTATGGGATGTTGCCACAGCAAGTGCTTAAAAGAAAATTTATAGCTGTATATGCCTCCATTGAAAAAGAAGAAAAATCTGTAATCAATAGTCTAAGAGACTTTGACCATAAGAAACTAGAAAAAGAGCAACCTAAACCCACAAAAATGCAGAAGGAAAGAAGTAATAAATACCAGAGCAGAGATAAATAAAATGGAGAACGGAAAAACAATAGAGAAAATCAACAAAACCAAAAGCTGCTTCTTTGAAAAGATCAACAAGATGGACAAACCTTTAGTATACTGACCAAGAAACAAAGGGAGAAAACCCAAACTACTAAAATCAAGAATGAATGAGAGAACATTACTAATGACCTTACAGAAATGAAAAGGAATATAAGGGAATACTATGAACAATTACATGCCAACAAATTAGATAATCTAGATGAAACCAACAAATTCCTAGAAACACAAACTACCAAAACTGACTCAAGAAGGAGTAGAAAATCTGAATAGATTTATAACAAATAAAAATATTGGGTTAGTAATCAAAAATCTTCCAATAAGGAAACATCCAAGACCACAGAGAGTTTCACTGGGAAATTCTACCAAACATTTAAAGAAGAATTAATACCAATCATTCTCAAACTCTTCCAAAAGGTAGACCAGAAGGGAACTATACTCATTCTATGAGGCCAACATTACCCTCATACCAAAACCAAAGACATGACAAGAACAGAGAAGTATACATCAATTTTCCTTATTCCTGGGAATCTAAATGCCACCCCGCCCCGCATGTGTAAGGCTGTGCATATGCTCAGGAAAGACCTGGGAATGCCCTGAGCTTCCACCTCACACCATACACAAAAATTAAATTCTAGAGTTTTATAGTTGTAGGTCTATGATCCAGTTTGGGTTAAGTCTGTATATGGTGTGAGGCAGGGATCCAACTTCATTCTTTTGCATGTCAAAATTCATTTGTCACAGTACCATTTGTTGCAGAGACTATTCTTTCCCCATTGAATGGAGTTGACACCCTTATCAAAAATCAATTGACCATAGCTGTGCAGGTTTATTTCCGGACTCTCAAGTCTATTCCACTGGTCTACATGTCTATCTTTATACCAGTACCACACTATCTTAACTGCTTGTAGCTTTATAGTAAGTTCTGAAATTGGGAAGTGTGAGTCCTCAAACTTTGTTCTTCTTTTTCAAGATTGTTTTGGCTACTCTGTGTCCCTTGAATTTCCATATGAATTTCAGGATTGGCTTGTCCATTTCTGCAAAAAAGCCAGCTGGGATTTTAACAGTAAAGTCCCCGGGTTACGAACGTCCAACTTACAACTTTTGGACAACTTGTACTTGCCCTTTAACATTATGTAAAGTTGTCCTCACTTTGAAACAACTGAACCAACTCCTACTCGCAACAAATTCTTCATCACAATCACCTTCGCTTGCTGCAGTGCAGCTTTTAAATCACTGAAAAGGCTCCAAGCCTCTTCTTCCACTAAAGTAAGGCTAAATAGAAACCATATGCACCTGTTCCAACCTACCTACAAACTCAACTTAAAGACACTTAGGAACGGATCTCGTTCGTAACCCAGGGACTGCCTGTAATCTTATAACAGTATTTGTGGGAGTGTACAACAGCCCAGCTATTTTGGAAAACAATTTGGCCTGGTGGTGCAATGGTTAAGCACTTGATTGCTAATCAAAAGGTCGGCGGTTTGACCCCACCAGTGGCTCCATGGAAGAAAAGACCTGGCAATCTGCTCCCATAAAGATTACAGCCTAGGAAACCCTATGGGGTAGTTCTACTCTGTCACATAGGTCGCTATTGAGTCAGAATCGACTCGACAGCGCACAACATTAAAATATAAAAGGCACATACCCTTTGGCCCAGCAATTCCATTACGCTTGGGCATAAAGGGCATGCACAAGAAAGTTCACTGCAGCACTATTTGTAATCACGCAAAATGGAAACACACCACATGTCTGCCAGTAAGGAAATGGCATCAGTCATAGCAAGGCCACGCCACTGAATGCTAGCTCCATGAGGGCACAGGCTTATGTCGGATTTGTTTACAGCTGTATCCCCAGTGTCTGGAACAGTGCCTGGTACACAACTGATACTCTAATGTTTGCTGAATGCATACTGTGGTATACTACACAGCAGTTAAAAAGAATAAGGTAGGTGGGTAGATATAGAAAGGATGATTGATGGATAGAGACAGATGATGAGATACTAGATATAGATAGATAGATGGATGATTAACAGACAAAGAGAGACAGATGATGGAGAGAGATTATACACAGATATACGATAGATACAGACCAAAAACCAAACCCATTGACGTCGAATCAATTCCAACTCATAGCGACCCTACAGGACAGACTAGAACTGCCCCACAGGGTTTCCAAGGCTGTAATCTTTATGGAAGCAGACTGCCACATCTTTCTTTCATGGAGTAGCTGGTGGGTTCAAACCACCGACCTTTCCGTTAGCAGCCTAACTGAGCACTTAACCACTGTGCCACCAGGGCTCCATATGGTAGATATAAATAGATGACAGACAAATAAGTAGATAATAGATATAGATAGATAGGTAGATAGATAGACAGACAGATAGATAGATTCAGGTCTTCTATACATATTAAATTTAAAAAGCGAGCTGTGAAACAATACATATAATGCCTATATGAAACATCCCTACACATGTCATGGAAACCAAAAACCACAATACAATCTAGAGCTATAGATCTATGTAACAGCACAGAAAACTAATTGGGACCAATATATCCCAAACTGGCTGTAGTAGTTTCCCCTTGGGATGGGGAAAGATCAAGAGGGACCTCAGCTTTACTTTATAAGTATTCGTGCATTTTTCAAAAGAATGGTTTAATTTCTTTTCAAAAGAAAAGGAAAACTGATGACAAAGCTTAATGTTGGAGAGACTACACCCAGACCCCCCCCTCTTTTTTTTTTAATTGTACTTCAGGTGAAGGCTTACAGAACAAATAGTTTCTCATGAAACAGTAGTACACATAATGTTTTATGACATTGGTTAACAACCCCACAACATGTCAACCCTCTAAATTCTCAACCTTTTTTTTTTTGGTGAAAATACACATAGCCAAAGATACACCGTTTCAAAAATTTCTACATGCACAGTTCAGTGACACTGACTACGCTCTTCCAGTTGTGCTGTTATTCTCACCTAAGATGAAGGCTTACAGAACAAAATAGTTTCTCATTTAACAGTTACTACACATGTTGCCCTATGACAATGGTTAACAACCTCACAACATATCAACAGTATCCTTACTCAACCTTGGGTTCCCTATCACCAGCTTCCTTGTCCCCTTCTGCCTTCTGGCCCTTGTCATTGGACTACTGTACCTCATTAGTCCCATTTGGTTTTACAGGGTTGTCCACTCCCAGGCTGAACGGTGAACCTCAGAGATAACTTCACCACTGAGCTAAAAGGGTATCTGGGGGCCATACTCTCGGGGTTTCTCCAGTCTCCTTTAGGCCAGTAAGTCTGGTCTTTTTTTGTGAGTTAGAATTTTGTTCTACATCCTTCTCCAGCTCTGTCCGGAACCCTCTGTTGTGATCCTGCAGACCCCATTTTTAAGAGAAGCTATTATGAAAGAAAATCTAAACTGAGAGACAACTCCCTTACTCACTTCAAAGCACATTTCACCACGCCAGGGAAGGCAGTCCTCGGAGGCCACTGCGGGCTCTTCCCGCCAGTCGGGACTATGACTTGGGTCAGTTATCACACAGTGCTTAGTATTGTCAACAAAAGAAACAGGAGTTTTCAATTTTTAGATTTTCTTTTAAATGAAGCAACTTATGATAACCATATTTCACCTGATCGAGTGAAATACAGGCCACCTACTGTTTTCATCGAGTGTGTATTCTGAGTGGGTGGTGCATATTAATCGCTAGTGTTTGCTTTTAATAGAGTTTTTTTTTTTTAATTTACTACTCACGCTTTACTGAAGAAGTTTCCTGCAGCGCATCTTCCAAACGGAAATCACCGGTGTCTCCAAATCCTAAACATAAAAATGATTTTTAAATTTAACTATCTTTGCATGAAACACAGTAATACTAAAGTATGCTCTTGAAATGGCCGTTTCCCTATCGACAAAGTTACAAAGGCAATGCCCCAAAAGGAAGTCAGCTGAAGCCACTAAAGACATCTTGTGTTGACATCCTTCCACAAACAACTTATCTTCACTAATTAAAAACAAACAAAAAGAAAAAAAAAAGCATCAGAATAAAATGCCTTTGGCCCCACCAGAAGGTTGAAGGCTCAAGCTGTTTGGAACACGAAGTAGTCTTGCAGACAACCATCTCGAGAACCTGATTTTTACAAGAGGGAGTGTAATTGCCCAAAGCTCCACTAATGATGGGTCAAGTTCTCTCAGTCCACCCCAGGTTCGTAAAGGTTGCTCTGCATTTTGTCAATCCCAGATACTTTCCCTCTGGCCCCCAGCACCCCACCTAGACCAGGAGTCCTGACTGATCACATGTAGCTGAAAAGGCTCCAGGGAAAAGCTTTTCACAGGAGAATCTGTCCTCAGAAGTGGACATGTCTGCCCCGCCCCATGCCCTACTGAACTTAACAGCTATCGCTCCCTCTAGATGGGCACGTAGTTTCCCACAGGTGTGTACAGGTTATCAATTCTGAAACAAATCACTGTACATGTATACTGTAATTGAACAATTAATTTCCTGCATGGGAGATGCTGAGAGCAAGGTTTCTCACTGTTGGAGTGGGAGGTTACAGATAAGCAAGGGGAGGAGGCTAGAATGATCCTCGTGGTAATGCATGAGTGTTGGAGATATCACTGTGGACTCACGTTTAGCTTAATACAGATACAGGTGGTTACATACATAAACATTTATAGATATGTGTATACACATGGGTTAGTATATATACATGTACTTTCTCACTCTGCATCTGGGAGGGCCTAGAAGCAATACTGCAGAAGCAATGAGCACACCTAGCACCCAGATCTTGGTTTCTAATCCCATTCTCCAATAAAAGGAACCAATGCTCCTAGGAGAAATGGCTGACTCTAGGATAGGGGCAGGAAATATACAAGAAGAGCTGGAGCATCTTACAGTGCCAGAAAGTAAGGAGGTGCTAAAAAAAAGGGGGTATATCAAAGGGACATAGGAACCAACTGAAAGAGTTCCCACTGGTCAACACTGGAGCAATCTGAGCAACAAAATAAACTGGAGTTAGATTATAACCCAAAGTAAAAATAAATATCCATGAGTCCATACTGAGATAAATGACTAAATAAATAGAACAGACAAATCTCCTGTATAGGAGAATTCAAGGAAATAGAGCATAACTCCCCACTCCCTAACTGTGGGCTGTGCATAGTGACTTCTTTTCAAAGGACACAGTATGGAAAGGGAGGGAAAGAGTAGCTTTACAGTGGAGAAAGCTGGCAAACACTACCTCAGCCAGGTAATCAAGATTAACATTTAACAGTGGTAAGTTATGCTGATGGCATGTACCCTTGATATGATGTGATGAGAATGGCATTTTACCTCATGATCTTCCCACCTCAAACCCAGCACTCCAGTCTAATCATGAGAAAAACATGAGACAAATTCCAGCGGAGGAATATCCTACAAAATGCCTGACCAGTCCTCTTCGAAACTGTCCAGGTCGTCAAAAGCCAAGAAAGTCAGAAACTGCCACAGTTGAGAGGGTCTTAAGCACACATGACAACTAAATGTAATGTGGTGTCCTAGATAGGCTCCTGGGACAGAAAAAGGACATTAAATAACAACTAAGGAAATCTGAATAAAGCATAGACTTTACCTAACAATAATGATGTATTGGTATCAGTTACTTGTGGCAAATGTACCATACTAATGTAACATCTAACTATTGGGGAAACTGGGTATGGGGCATACGGGAACTCTGTACCAGCTTTGCAATTTTTCTATAAATCTAAAACAGTTCTAAAAAATAAAGCTGAGTTTTAAAAGAATCAATTTCCTAGACAAGATTTCAAAAAAGCTTAAGGGTAATCACTAAATGAAGAGATACTGGATATATAGCCGCTAAACTATTCAAGAAAAAAAAGAAAGAAAGAAAGACCACCACCACCAACCAAAAATCAATCTATCCAACAAAAGTCACTAAAGGGGGAAGAAGAAAAACCAAGAAAGCATATTAAATAGAAACCATGAAAGTTAACGTCAGAGCAAAAACAAACAAACAAACAAGAGTACAAATGCCCTTCAGCCAAAGATCAGACAGGCCCAAAAAACACAACGAGACTAAACGGGCACACCAGCCCAGGGGCAAGGATGAGAAGGCAGGAGGGGACAGGAAAGCTGGTAATGGGGACCCCAAGGTCGAGAAGGCGAGAGTGTTGGCATGTTGTGGGGTTGGCAACCAATGTCACAAAACAATATGTGTATTAATTGTTTAATGAGAAACTAATTCGCTCTGTAAATCTTCACCTAAAGTACACCAAAAAAAAAAACAATAATAATTTTAAAAAACTCGAGGGGAGAAATCACTAGCAAAAAAGGAGTGCAAATGGGTTAAGTTCCCTATTAAAAGACAAATGGGATTTCAAAGATATCTAACTACATGCTATTGACAAAACATACATCTAAAGCAAAATGGTAAATAAAAAATGTTGAAAATAAGAGAATGGAAAAATATATACCAGGCAATTGCCAACAGTAGAGGGTCAGCGATAAAGAGGAAGACCCTCAATGAGATGGACTGACACAGTGGCTTCAACAATGGGCTCAAGCATAGCAACGATTGTGAGGATGGTGCAGGACGGGCAGTGTTTCGTTCTGTTGTACAAAGGGTGGCTGTGAGTCAGAACCGACTCAAAGGCAGCTAACTACAATAACTGCCAACAGGAAGAAAACAGCCGTGACAATATTAATATCAGACAAAATAAAATCTAAGACCGGAAGCTCTACATAGGAAACGAGCAATATTTCATGAGAATAAAGGGTATAATCCACCAAGAAAATAAAAGTCATGGCACTTACTAACCTAGCTTCTGAAATTCTGAAGTAGCCTTTTGCTTCTCACCATGAGGGAGTAACTGGTTTCAGGCAACGAGCAACAAGCAGTGCGAGACTTCAATCCCTGAGAGCAAGGAAATCATGGCAGCTAAAGCCAACGGGTGATCCTGGATTGGATCCTGAACCTATAAAGGCCGTTACTGGGGCAACTGGTGACATCTGCATGAGGTCTGTGGGCCAGCTGGTAATACTGGATCACTGTTCATTTCCTGATTTTGATGGATGTGCTGTGGCCATGCAGGAGAGAGTCTTTGTTTTTAGGAAATGCACACTGAAATATCAAAGATAATGGGCATCTTGTCTGCAATTGATTCTGAAATGGTTCTGGCACACACACACACACACACACACACACACACACACACACACACGATTAGGACAACTGGCAAAACTTGAATGGGGTCTGAGGATTAGGAGGTAGTAAGAGATCCAGACTAATTAACTGCCTGATTCTGACGGCTGTATTGCAGGAGGATGTCCTTGTTTGTATCTGGAGGTGATGGCACAACAGAGGACAACTTCCTGTCAGTGGTTCAGAGGAACAAAAGGAGTTCCTTATTGCGCTTGCGATTTTTCTGGAAAAATGTAATTGTTTTAACATTGAAAAACTGAAAATAATTTAAACATGCATATTTTTCAATCTTGCAATTCCACTTCTAGGCACCTCTTACAGACAAATACTTGTACATGTGCCCAAAGAGGTCTGTACAGGGATGTCCATGGCAGCACTGCTTACAAGAGCAAAAGAAAATGTGAACAGACTAAGTATTCATCAAAGAGGAATGGTAACTGGAATATGGTTCTTCCCATACAATGAAACAGCGCGTAACTGTTAAAGAGTGAGGTAAGCCTATATACTGACATGGGAGAGATCTCCAAGAGACAGTATTAAACAAATGAAAGCAAGGTGCAGAGAAGTCATTTTCCATGTATGTGTATGTGTTCATATCTACATCCATAGAAATGTTTCGGAAGCTTACACAAGGAAACTGGTAACATAACTGGGGTTATGTTTACAGAATGAGAATAGAGACTGGAGGAAGGGAGGAGCATTTTCCTATTAATTTAAACTCTTCTCTGCCATTTTTGTTTTTAATCATGTGTATGAATTTCTCTTAGAGTAATGCAAGTGATGATGACAATAATAATAATAAATGTTCTGTATAAGTCACTCCAAAATCATAAGCCAATCATCCCAGTGGGTCTTCCTTCAAACTCTATCCCTACTTCTCATCCAAGAATTGCAAGAGTAGGTTCCTTCAAATAACATCTTATACAAGTAATAAGATGTTTCAGCCTCAGCCATCCCCCTACTGTTCGCTGATATACCCCACTACAGGTCATCAAGTAAAGAGTTAAGGGAAATAGAATATGATTTTTCAGTATCATCAATCCCTCACTGACCTTGGATTCAACAGACTCAAACCATCTCTGGACAAAACCACTCAATCGCAATAGAGATCCTGAGCTATTAACTTCTCCAGAGCCTACAGCAAAACATGGCTGCTAAAATCAAGACGGGAACAAATATTCTCACGAAAGACACCACCCCTCAAATGGTCTACAATAGGGTCATATTCTATACACCTTTCATGCAATCTAGAACTAAACAACCCAGTTTGGGATGCAGGCAGACCGGAATCCTCATGTTAATGAATGCATTCACCCACTCCTGGGCCCTGTTAGGAAGCAGCTGATTTTCCATAGCCTCAATTCACAACCCCCAAATCCCTGTATCTGGGAGATCAGTGTTCAAGCAGTCGGTAGAAAAGTGACCTCAGTCAGCCGCAGAGGGCCAAAAAGAATTCCTTTTAATTGAAAAAGCACATAGCCAGCTGGTGATTGCTGTCTGAAAATGTCCTTGTCAGACAGAGTAGAGCTTTGGGAATCCACCCATTTCTCAACAGCTTCGCAGCTCCTTGAGAAAATCCATTCGGGAAAATGCTGGTTCTGCCCACAGACAACCCCACCC